AGTCACATCACTGTTTGTGTGTGAAGAAATGGTGTGTGTGTGTGTGTGTGTGAGAGAGAGAGAGAATGGTTTTGTGTGGACAGGTTCACATACAAAATGTGTACATTATTAAGAACTGACTTTTTTCTCTTAGTGCTATGCAAGTACAAAAGAACAGTGAAGAGTTTCGACGTCTTTTGTTTCCTGGAAGAGTAATTCTATTTTTTCAGCTCCGAACATTGACAGGGTTTTGATTTTGTATCCTTAAGTGTCTAAGGGGTGATTTACTGTAGTATTTTTATTTTATTTTATTTTTATTTTTTGTTTTCTGGGGGACATGCTGGTTGAGAATCCTCAAACTTGGCCTGGAAGAGTCGGATCGCTCTCCGAGGATGCTACAAACGACAAAAACAGAGTGTTGCGATGAGCTCGAGTCGTGACTAACGTCGCGAGCTTGTGCCTCACAGGTTTTATTTTTGTTTTTGTTTTGTTTTTTTGGACCGAACCCAGTTCAGTAACTCTGGATCCCTGAACACAGGTGTGTTTTCTCAGTTCTCACGAACCTGACGACGGGTGTAGACGACGACAGTGTTTCTGGCGGACGCCTCGCTGGACGATTCTCTGCATTCGGAAGCTGCTCCTTTCAAAGAGACAAACTGTTCAACAAGACCGACATTTTTATGGGAAACGAAACCAATTCAGTGACGTTATTTTGTCTCTGTAAAGAACCAATTGTAAATACCTGTCTAGCCTTCTTACTTGTAACTAAATATAATTTTTATGCAATAAATTATATTTCTTAGTTTAACTGTACTGTTGTGTGTGTGCTTTATAAGGTGCGTCATCCTCTTCGTGCCTGAGTTTTAAACTGAGATCTTCTCGTGAAATGATGAAGTTGTAGCCACTTTGGTCAAACTTTGAACAAGAYGTCACAATGTGTTGTGAAGTGGATCAGTTAGTGATCATTTCCTGCAACTTTTATTTAAATCCATCTGGTAGTTCACTAAATATTTTGCTAATAGTCTGACAGAGTTGACTCCAAACAGTTAATGGCAAAAGTCAAAGTGGATATTTGTGTTTGAGTTGTTACCATTTCTGTTGCCTAACTTAGCCAAACCACCCTGAACACGCCAGCTCTCATAAGCAGGGTTGGACATGGTTAGTACTTGGTGGGCATAGTTAGTACTTGGATGGGAGACCACCTGCCCTTGGGCTTGGGAACAGCAGTGGTTCCAAAACTTTTCAGGTTTTGACCCACAAAGAAGCAGCATCAGAGACCTGTGTCTCCAGCTGTTGTTGGTTGGTAAACATTGTTTTCACATCAAATAAGAGCATATTGGTATTGGTATTGGTA